CCATCATAGCACGCACAACAAGTATCACAAGGAGGCCTGGCCCACCACAACAAGCAAATTAGCAAAAGCAACAGCAGACAAAACACCAGACACAGCAATTTCACCACCTCAACCACCACCTCAACCACCACTACCGTCATCATCATCCCCTGTCACCGCCACCACCATAAAAGAAGGCAAGGGTGGTTGCACCAACACAGGTCAAAGAATGGTAGCGTTCTGCATTCCTTCGATGAGCTTGTTGAGGATCTTCAGCTTCTTCTTCACGCCCACCTCACGGCCTTCCTGCTCCTGCTCCTCCTCCTCCTCCTCATCATCATCATCATCATCATCATCATCATCATCATCATCATCATCATCATCGTCCTCCTCATCTTCATCATCATGTCCCTGGTCACCGTCATCGGCGTTCCCACCGCCCTTATGCGCCATGTCACGCTTCTTCTGCTGCAGCCACTCAACAAGCCGCCGGCACGCATCCTCAAACCGATCACACGTGCTCAGGACATCAAACCTCTCGCCAAAGTCGGGGCGAGCCCATGCCATGGCCAGTGAGTAAAAGTCGTGGATGCTTTTGAACGGCAGCCGGTCCCTGCGCGAGCGAACAAAACAAGTCAGTATGCCGTTCAGCAGACAACAGTGAAGCCGTCCGGCGTGTGCGTTCCAAAATTCTCCACATCAATGAGGAACGCGACTTCAGCGTTCCTCACTGCTATATTCTCCTTCCTGACATCGGCGTGGGGAAGTGAGTGGAAACACAACCGCAGGAGCTGCTCGGCCCACACACAACAGCTGCTCTGGCGTGGTGAACTTGCCGCTGCCGAGGAAGAGCATGACGATGGTGTTGCTGTTGATGACGCGAATCGGGTGACGTGGGTGCAGGATGCGCCACATAAGACGAATGCGGTCGATGTTGTGGTCGTCAGGCACACGCTTCACCACAGTGTCGTCAATAATCTTTACGTCTGCATTGATGTCTTCAAATTCGAAGAACACGCGCATGTTGGCCAAGATGACCTCATCTCTCTGCTGGTGCTGGTGCTGTGGCTGCTGTTGCTGCTGTAGTTGCTGGTGCTGGTGCTGGTGCTGCTGGTGCTGGTGCTGCTGCTGTGGCTGCTGTGGTTCCTCGGGGCAATCGCCGCTCAAGCGAATGCGCTCAACAAGAGCAGGTGGGACATCGCACTGGGGAGATGGCAGCGGTGGCGGAGAGGTGGTGGCAGGGGCTCCAAAGCATCGAGCGTAGAGCGAGTCGTAGTAGGCCAGCAGGGGCTCAGACAAGAGCACATCCAGCACACAGGAGAACTTGGACAGCTGACACCGCAACAAAGCAGGAAGCACGAGAGCAGACGTGTGGAGATGTGCGACACATGAGCGTGTGTGAGAGCATGTGGCCGCCACAAACAAAGCAAAGGGACACCACAGCGCACGAGGAGAGCAGCATGTCAGGGGCAAGAGGAGCAAGCCATCACAACAAGAGGAAAACAACAACAACAACAATATATGCTAGCAGAGGTGCACCGTGGTGGATGTTAGGGTGATGGTGTTGATGACTGGCATCTTCTGGCCACCAGCGAACGTCTTGTGTCCAAGGACGAAACCATACACATCAACACAGTTCCCGGCGACGGTGATGCCAATGGGGTACATCAGCCCCTTGATCACAGACTCCCAGCGGGGAACGCACTTGATAGCGTGCAATGCGTATTCGCGCAATTGCTCCTTTGCTGCCGCTCGCTGTGCACGCTGCTGCTCGAACTGTAACATGCACACAAGGTGGACGCAGCAGTGAGCAAGCAGGATTTGTGTTTCCGTGTGTGTGTGTGTGTGTGTGTTTGCGTCTGCGCGTCTGTGTGCGCTTGTGTGTGTGTGTGTGTGTGTATCGTGTGGTGGCTGGTGCACAAGCAATTGGAATAAAAAAGTCAGAGGTGCACACGTCAATCATTACCTCAATGATAAGAGGCAGAAAGCTGTGGTGCAGCTCGCACACGGTCGGACGAAACGCAGCGTCAATCTTGTACTGCTCCGTATTCGAGACAGGCGCGTTGGCGATGACCATCATGCGGCTGTGCAGCTTCTTGCGATTGAAGTAATTGTGAATGCACACCACCATTTGGTATTGGATCCACTCTTTGTATTCGTCCGTGCTGATGTCTTCAAAGCCAGAGGCTGGCCCAGCAAAAACGCAAAGCAAGAAGAACACACGAGCTTGTGAGTCATTGCATACCAGTGGCGGCGCATGCGTGCGTGCATGCGTGTGTGCATGTATGTGCATGAAAGTGCATGTACGCGTGTGTACATGTGTGCGTACATGTGCGTGCGTACATGTGTGCATACATGTGTACGTGTATTGCAGCCACCTTGCGACACACAACACACAACACACACACACACTATCACAAGCGCACAAAGTGGACTCACAATCACAGATGCTCTGATACAGGAAGTAAGGCAAGTCACACGACAAAACACCACACACACACCATACACCCCACACACACCACACACCACACACACCACATGCACACATAAACTCACTCCCGTCGCCATGTGTTGCTGTGGCCATGTCAAGCTGCTTGGCGAGTTGTGAGGTGACCGCGAAGGTGGACGGGTCGACGGAGATAAAGTAAGGGAAGGAGCTCTCCACACCCCCCTCTCTCCCCTGCTTGTTCAGCCTTTTCTTTGAAGCTGTGCTTGGTGCCACAGTCCACACAAGGTCTGCATGGGAGTGTGTGCGTGCATGTACATGCACGTGTATGTGGTGGACCAAGATTAGTTTGGCCGAAGCCAATTCGTTGGGTGTGAGTCATGGGTAAGGCATGAGAAGCACGTCGCAAACAGCCGTCGCAGGACATCAACTCAAACATGCACTTACTCAGCCGTTTGTTGAGCGCAGATGTCTCCAGCTTGGGAGGTGTGCATTTGGACAATTGCAGCTTTACAGCTTTGCATGCTGAAGATATCTTATGTTTGTCGGTCGTGAGTGGATCGAGCGCGTCCACTACAATGTCAACGTCTGGCATTGTGTGGGCCATGTCTGCGATGTAGTCTTGCAAGTGCTCCAGCGCGTCAGAATCGAAATCACGAAGAGATGTCTCAACGTCAAGTCCTTTGCGAGCAGCATTGTACTTCTTCCGCAAAATCATGGCGGCTCTTTGGAGCACCATGACCTGCACCGTTCAAGCCGGGAAGACGAGGCGTCAGGAGAAAAGAGAAACGATGAA